AGCGGAGTTGAAATTGCCAGTCCTTGGTATATGATGTGGGTCCCTAGACATTGACTACTTGCTTACGATCTAGGTACAACTAGACGGTTTGCGCAAAAGAATCTTGTAGTTGATTAATCGTGCTGAAAGCTTTCAACATGTCGAGAAGCAGCAGAATAACGTATGGCTGATTAAAGCCTAATGCTGATATTTCTTAGTATTATGTAGTGGTCATTGTATCAAAAATCAACCAATTCATCTCCATTGTTGCAATAATTTCCTAATCTACCAATTACCTACAAAAAATACCAGCATTTGTAAATTTACCAATGATTTTTCAATGCTCAAGTAGTATTTTTTTGACGATTACAATGTTATGCCAACTTGAAATCTTATATTTTCCTTTTTTTTGGTAATTCATCCGTTTTTCACTTTAACTTGGGCTTCGAGGGACTCATTTTGGGGTTAGCAAATCGTCGGGACCGTCCCTTTTGCTACCTTTTTAGTTCCAGACAAGGTGTTCATGATTAGTTGGATCTCAAAATGCTCGGAGCATACATGCACTTACATAGAATCAAACTCTTTATCAGCGCGAGGACAAAGACGATCTTTTTTGTTATAAGATTCTTCTAACTCGAAAAATTGAAAGAGTTAAGGGAGGTCTGACCTTTTTAAATTATTTTTACGCACGAACATGACTTAATACATCCAGCTCTAGTTCATGTTCTTTCAAAAATGGGCGCCCTTTCCCTGAAGCCTCGACTTGAAGCTATGAAGTAGTTACCTGGCGTTCTGGCTCAAACAGTTGGAACTGGGCAACTCCATTCGAAATACAACGTCACGTGACCGAATTGTGTCCATGTGCTGTAGTTAACAAATTGACGCCAGTTCTTTATCGTCTGTCCTCTTATTGATGATAAAATGACATCATAACATTGTCAAAGTGTTGTGGATCCACGAGCCGCATACAATAACAAAAGCTCGAAGAAGTCAAATATTGCCGGTAAAAATGAAGACAACACAAGATGTTATTGTCAATAACTTTTTTCGCTTAGTGATTCGCTACTGATAACGAGTAATGGAGTTCTACTGGCTAGAAATTTGACAGGTTGAGTCACGTCACTGCCCTGCATAAATTTGTTTTGCAAACTTCAAACAAGAATGAGATCAGTGATGTTTATTGCCTTGAAAAACGGGGGCATTGTAGGGCTGTATAAAGTCGTTAACTAGCCCATGGTTAATTATTGTCCCAAGGAAAGATTTTGGAGCGGTTAAAGTAAACGAACAAGTCGAAGAAATGCACGGTTAAACTGTCTGTAGATCAAACTAGTCTGACAGTTTAGAAGAGTTGTTAACCGATCAGTACGAACAGAAGTCGTGTACGGCCAGTTGTTTACTTCAGTTCTCGTCTTGTTTGTCGTAATGAATGCCATACAGCTATATGAGCTGTGTACAATCAAACCGAAAGGTGGGTTTTATAGGCATGAAGTTTTAAATTCAACTTACCAGGTACTTACAAAGTTTCATAAAGTTTGTACAAAAAGTTTGTTTTCTTTCGGAAAAAAGGATCAGAGAAACACTCAGTACTGGTCAAAGGAAAACTACCGTTATAAATGAGTTTGTTTTTAATAAAGTAGACTTTCAGAATTGTTTTCTTACTTTTTCAACTTTCAACCTATTTACGAACATTAAAAGGTTATCTAAATCGCAGTTTTGAAACTGTACCATTTCTATCAAATCGTCCCCGCTTCTGGAAACTAAGTGTCTTGTTTAGTTTCCTCTGCATAAGCTTTTTGTAGAGAATCCAAACGGGATGCAAGTCTTGCATCAGAACTTTCTGGCTATTATTCTCAGAGAATAGAAAGTGAATCTTCTACGAAACTAAACTAAGGGGTCGACCATTTAACTCTTGAGGGGGCGGGGGGGGGATGGGTGAATTTGAAAAGAAATTTCCTGCAAGCGGTTGTCGGAAGAAAAAAATTGCATGCAGCACAAATGTAATAGAAAGCTTATGGGAAATAATGGGAAAAAAATATCCTTCCCACCAGATTGCTAGAAAAAAAAATTCTTGATGACCAGAAATCACCCACCCCACCCCTCAAGAGTTAAATGGTCGGCCCCTAAGCAAAAACAACGAAGTTCGGCATTCCTTCGGCAAATGACGGCGTCTTGCATTATTAAATTAGAATTTTATGTGTTGGTCCTCTTAATGATAATTGAAATTAGCCAAACAGCGTGCGAGATATAATTCAGTTATTGTAAAAAAATATCCTTTCTATAGTTGTTTTGCATTTTGGTAACTTATATTTGAAACCCCAAAGACTTTCAATCTTTTACCGGAGTTGCATGACTCAAAACGTTGTGGAATCTAGGCGGACACCTACTTCGAGAAAAAAAAGCCGATGAGCAAATGGCACGTTGAATTGACATAGTGAAAATACCCTAAATTTGAATTTTTTTTTCGTGACTAAACAAATGTTTGATTTCAATGCAATGTATATAAAATGAGCATATTATAGGTTGAGTTCACCGTGACGTTTTGTATACTCTCGACTGCTTGATGAAATGCCTGCACCACGTCCGAAAATTAGTTCTGACCAAGAAAGTTTAAGTTAATTTTTCAGGCTATCAGCCTGTCCGACAAAGTTAAGACGAAGGTTATACTTCGTTTTATTACAAAGTTCTAAACAGAGATATCAGGAAGTAATCATGAGGTGAGTGGTATCTTGAGGGACAACCAACCGTGTAACTGTGATTTTCAGTGCTTATATTAGTTGTATTGGCGATAGAATTGAACGACATTTATACCTAATGTAAAGCGCTCATAGATCAAAGAGGTTTTTCTGCAGTGTTTTTTTTTTTTTTTCCATATTTTCACTTTTCATACCGGTAGTATATATCCACGGTCTAGCCAAATTTCCTGTATGTCACGCAAATATATAAATACATCGGGTAATTATCACTTATCTGCAATAATAAATTTTTTTAGCCTAAGAGAGGAAGTTTAAGTCATAATAATATTGCAATAGAGAAAAAGAACGGAAATTAGATTACACATTATCTTTTAACAGAAATTTAACAAATGTTTAGGCAGCGATTCTTACATAATTTGCCATGTTGTCCTTATGCAAAATAAACATCTGTAAAAAGAGGAAAATTAACTCCGGCATATCTTGGATTTACCACTGAAAAGAATAACTCTAAGATTTTGAATGTACCTTTTGTAACCCATGGTTATCTGTATCAATATTTCCCCCATTTAAAAAAAGAAAAAAACAAAATCATTGGACCCTTTCATGGTTTCTGAGATAGACAACGCGTTGGAACGAGAATAGTTATTTACCTTTGTCTCGCGGAAGTCGTTCGTCTTCATATAACATCATGGGGTAACAAACATGTGTTGAGGTCGCTATAAAGGAGAAATACGGCGAAAGAGGATAATTCCCTTGAATCGCAAACTTTATAGCGAAACATTAAATTAAGTCGAGGTTGGACAATTAAGAGGACCACTCTGAGTCTAAACAATAAAGGTTTTTACTCCTCAAGGCTCAAATACGACTAGAGGCCATGCCGTACCGAGTCCTTGAAATTTCTTTCTTTTTTGCAGCGTCAAGGAGTATAACACGCTGGCTAAGTAGAATTCTAAAGACCGTTGTGTGGTCTTATGCGAACTAAATTTTAATTAAGTATCCTGATTCCAATTTTCAGATCTCAGTATAATTGTCTTGGTCTGAATTGGGTAAATGAAATTCAGCGTATGAATATCAAGCATTCAAAAGTAAGAGGAAAGTGTTTGTCTTTTAATACTTTGGTTAATTTCTCGCCGAAAACGTTGCTTCTAATAAAAGCCATGAAAATTTTAATTTTAGTCAAACATTCAGAAGTTATAAGTAACCTAAATATACATACAAGGGAACAAAAAAGTATGCGGACTCGATAAACTGAAAATTGAAATGCAAATTTGAACAACTTGTTAATGCCACATAACTAAATCGCAAATGAATATCTCTTGCTTCATTGCTTGCTCTGTAAACTGGCCGGGGTGAAGTAAATCCTTCGCTGTATGTAACAAGCTACACCTCACCGGGGTAAGATGGAACCTTCCTGCCCGCTTGTTTCAATGGAATGGGCCTGACTTAATCATCTAGGTATAACATAGGAAAGGAAACAAAAAAAACTACAGTTTTCTGTGGTCGAGATTCACCCCAGATGATCTTTAAATCAAAATATTAACATTTGTTGTGGCGGGGCTGAATAAAATAATAATCGGGTTCAAAATAATTCAGTAAAGCTTGGATCATGGAAAAGATGAAGTCGGCTATCAATTTCGTGGCGGAGACCTCACCTGACAACAGTCCGTGAATTTTGGGCCACATGAAACAAATAATATAATCTTGGTTTGCTTTATTTCTTATTCAAGATTATAAGTTCTGTAGGTTCACACAAATTCCAGCATTCCTCAGTGGGTTGTTGTGTTTTTTGCCTTTATTATAGTATAAAATATCCTGACAGATCAACTTGAAGCGTTTCACAGTTAAAATTTTAAGTCCTTAAATTATCTTTTGAGGAAAAATAATCTTAGGACCTAAAGGAAACAGAAGAACAGAAAAACCTCTTCTCCGGCATTTTCAATACATCGCCATGGTAGTGGTGACAGTGCGGTGATTGGACCTACGTGCCTACCCTTCTGAGTTTCCGCATAATTCTTACAATCAACTATCTTAAAGATCTTTACCCCCTACCCCCCACAAACAAAGCAAATGAGATCTACTAAACGCGTAAAAACAAGTTGGACTATATTGCCACGTATTGCTAAGAGGTATAACGCTAAACAGAGTGGATTTTTCTTCATTTGAAGCAAGACGTTTACCGAGCAAGAAGTCCGTGTGCAGTTGTTGTTGGCTTTCTTTTTCATAGGTTCACTTACTTACCAAGACGTTCAAGGTATAAAAGAGAATATTCATCCCTGTATTTCGTTTTTGCAACTTATTTTTATTATTTTTACTTTTTTGTATTTCCCAGCGCTGAGTATCAAAACCGGAATATGCAATTTCACCATTTCTACTCCTGGTCTATTTGCGTGTGAAAAGGTTTCCTTTGAGAAGCCTTTCAATGGCGGGCAGAATGTGAAAGTTTTCGTTTCCAAAAGCCACGCAACAAACAGTTATAGTGGTGGCGATGGCGCGGCTATTTGGGTGGAATCTGTGGATAATAAAGAATTCACAGTTTGTGTTTTGGAGTACGGTGATGGTTCTAGTGGGACTACGAAAGTGAACTGGATGGCGCTGCAATCTGTTCCTGATGGCGCTCAACTAGACACCGTCTCGTTGGATTCTTGGACCACTGGAGAAAAGTGTAAAAGGATCGCCTTTGAAAAGGTTACCTCTGTTTCCTCCTGCATTTTCGTTAAGTCAATAGTTCTTACTGATTTTGGTATTACTGTTTGCTCAAACCTAGACACAAGATTTCGCTACGTTATTTTTTGAGCTTTGCTTGACTAAGTGGCTTTAACTTCGTCTTTCTTTATTTAGCTCGTAGGAGCTGCAGACTTTCCATTTGACGTCTTCCTTATATCTTTAAGTCATGCGATATAACATTGTTGCATTATAAAATACGATTCTTTATTCGTTTACCAAGATCTTACATATATTGCTACCTCTATTTTTTTTTCCATTAAAGTTATCTTGCAATCTGTCCTCCACTTTTCTTTCATTTCAATTTTTTTATTTATATTTATACATCTTTAGAAAGGTTAAACAATCTTCATGTTTTTTGCTAATGTTTGCTTGAAAAAATTTAGTGAGAAAGTCTATATTTCGATTCCTTTTGTTTCCATGTTGCCAAGTTCATGATTATCGTTTTATTTGCAAATTCTATGTTTAATTCGTAAAACTGTTCTCAGTTTTTAATCTGCACTAGAAAATTCCATCCAATTTGCTTCTTTTCAGAATGATTTTTTCTATCACACTTCCCCCGTACCCTTGTTTGTTTAAAAAAGAAAATGTTCTTGATTATTTATTTCATTCTTTTTTACTTTTTCAGCGTTTCTCAATTCCTCCGAGCATCTATGTAACAGCTCGTCATCAAATTCTCAAGAGACCTCAGGACGCCTTGGCATTGTGGGTAGAGGATGTACGCAGGGACAGTTTTAAGGTTTGCCTTAGGGAAACTAAGATTTTTGATGGACTGCATAAAAACATCAAGGTGGTAAGTGAATTCCTTTTGTTACCTGTTACATGTTTGAAAGTAGACTCACACGACAACCAAGCGGTTCCTCCCTTGCTGCAACTTACAGGGGCTATGCTCTAAGAGAACCCAATTGTGCCTGGCGCTCTACCTTTGCTCTTTGCCTACTAGGAAATCGTAGCTTTTTTCATAGAGATCCTATGTTGGGTAGCCTGTGATTTAGACAGGTTCAAAGCAATGTAATGGGCTCCCTTCTCTTAGAGCACAACCTTGACTTGAGAAAGAATATATTGATAACATTGTTAATACTTTGTCACTTGTCCTTCAGAACTGGATAGCATTTGTTAAGCTGATGACGCTGAATTCTACCTTGATCCATGGCCTTGTAACAACAAAGAATAACTCACCACTAAACAAGCAACAAAGCAAGGCCCTCTGTCAGGTAAAGTAACTAATAAACTATACTGTTGTGGTTTCTCAGTCACTCATATTCATAAACAGAAAATCTTTCATAAGTTCATGAAGCTCTTATGTTTTTATCGTCAACTATTTAAACAACATATATCATATACCGCATATGTGTAGAAAAACTTAATAATGCTCATTCTTTTCTTGTTTTTTTTAGATAATTAAGTTCACTGATGCTTTCTATGCCCCTCCGATAGTAATGGTTTCACCAAGACTCAGTTACCATAACAACAACTCGCGTTTCTCGGCTTCCGGAACTTGTAACGCAGTTACTGCGTGGATTCAGGTAACATATATGAAACTTGGAGCCATTTTTCTTAGCCCATTGCGTCCTTGGGCTGCCTTCTTGTCTTTTCCTTCGAACTTACTTTAAGTATTGTCTCTGTTTCAAATTTTCATGTCGTTTAAGGAGTCCAGAAAAGTTTTTTTTGTTTTGTTTTTTCCCTATTTTTCCAACCAACCTGTGTACGCCACGGTTTCGCTTTCTAAACGACCTTTGGTAGTGACATAGCAGTTAAGGTAAGAAAATACCTGATGACGCTTAACCCTATTCAGACTTGGGGGGGGGGGGGGTGGAAGTTTAAGTCATAATAATATTGCAATAGAGAAAAAGAACGGAAATTAGATTACACATTATCTTTTAACAGAAATTTAACAAATGTTTAGGCAGCGATTCTTACATAATTTGCCATGTTGTCCTTATGCAAAATAAACATCTGTAAAAAGAGGAAAATTAACTCCGGCATATCTTGGATTTACCACTGAAAAGAATAACTCTAAGATTTTGAATGTACCTTTTGTAACCCATGGTTATCTGTATCAATATTTCCCCCATTTAAAAAAAGAAAATAACAAAATCATTGGACCCTTTCATGGTTTCTGAGATAGACAACGCGTTGGAACGAGAATAGTTATTTACCTTTGTCTCGCGGAAGTCGTTCGTCTTCATATAACATCATGGGGTAACAAACATGTGTTGAGGTCGCTATAAAGGAGAAATACGGCGAAAGAGGATAATTCGCTTGAATCGCAAACTTTTTAGCGAAACATTAAATTAAGTCGAGGTTGGACAATTAAGAGGACCACTCTGAGTCTAAACAATAAAGGTTTTTACTCCTCAAGGCTCAAATACGACTGGAGGCCATACCGTACCGAGTCCTTGAAATTTCTTTCTTTTTTGCAGCGTCAAGGAGTATAACACGCTGGCTAAGTAGAATTCTAAAGACCGTTGTGTGGTCTTATGCGAACTAAATTTTAATTAAGTATCCTGATTACAATTTTCAGATCTCAGTATAATTGTCTTGGTCTGAATTGGGTAAATGAAATTCAGCATATGAATATCAAGCATTCAAAAGTAAGAGGAAAGTGTTTGTCTTTTAATACTTTGGTTAATTTCTCGCCGAAAACGTTGCTTCTAATAAAAGCCATGAAAATTTTAATTTTAGGCAAACATTCAGAAGTTATAAGTAACCTAAATATACATACAAGGGAACAAAAACAGTATGCGGACTCGATAAACTGAAAATTGAAATGCAAATTTGAACAATTTTTTAATGCCACATAACTAAATCGCAGATGTTTTCAATGAATATCTCTTGCTTCATTGCTTGCTCTGTAAACTGGCCGGGGTGAAGTAAATCCTTCGCTGTATGTAACAAGCTACACCTCACCGGGGTAAGATGGAACCTTCCTGCCCGCTTGTTTCAATGGAATGGGCCTGACTTAATCATCTAGGTATAACATAGGAAAGGAAACAAAAAAAACTACAGTTTTCTGTGGTCGAGATTCACCCCAGATGATCTTTAAATCAAAATATTAACATTTGTTGTGGCGGGGCTGAATAAAATAATAATCGGGTTTAAAATAATTCAGTAAAGCTTGGATCATGGAAAAGATGAAGTCGGCTATCAATTTCGTGGCGGAGACCTCACCTGACAACAGTCCGTGAATTTTGGGCCACATGAAACAAATAATATAATCTTGGTTTGCTTTATTTCTTATTCAAGATTATAAGTGCTCTAGGTTCACACAAATTCCAGCATTCCTCAGTGGGTTGTTGTGTTTTTTGCCTTTATTATAGTATAAAATATCCTGACAGATCAACTTGAACCGTTTCACAGTTAAAATTTTAAGTCCTAAAATTATCTTTTGAGGAAAAATAATCTTAGGACCTAAAGGAAACAGAAGAACAGAAAAACCTCTTCTCCAGCATTTTCAATACATCGCCATGGTAGTGGTGACAGTGCGGTGATTGGACCTACGTGCCTACCCTTCTGAGTTTCCGCATAATTCTTACAATCAACTATCTTAAAGATCTTTACCCCCTACCCCCCACAAACAAAGCAAATGAGATCTACTAAACGCGTAAAAACAAGTTGGACTATATTGCCACGTATTGCTAAGAGGTATAACGCTAAACAGAGTGGATTTTTCTTCATTTGAAGCAAGACGTTTACCGAGCAAGAAGTCCGTGTGCAGTTGTTGTTGGCTTTCTTTTTCATAGGTTCACTTACTTACCAAGACGTTCAAGGTATAAAAGAGAATATTCATCCCTGTATTTCGTTTTTGCAACTTATTTTTATTATTTTTACTTTTTTGTATTTCCCAGCGCTGAGTATCAAAACCGGAATATGCAATTTCACCATTTCTACTCCTGGTCTATTTGCGTGTGAAAAGGTTTCCTTTGAGAAGCCTTTCAATGGCGGGCAGAATGTGAAAGTTTTCGTTTCCAAAAGCCACGCAACAAAGAGTTATAGTGGTGGAGATGGCGCGGCTATTTGGGTGGAATCTGTGGATAATAAAGAATTCACAGTTTGTGTTTTGGAGTACGGTGATGGTTCTAGTGGGACTACGAAAGTGAACTGGATGGCGCTGCAATCTGTTCCTGTTGGCGCTCAACTAGACACCGTCTCGTTGGATTCTTGGACCACTGGAGAAAAGTGTAAAAGGATCGCTTTTGAAAAGGTTACTTCTATTTCCCCTTGCATTTTCGTTAAGTTACTGATTTAGGTATTTCTGTTTGCTCAAACCTAGACACAAGATTTCACTACGTTATTTTTTGAGCTTTACTTAACTAAGTGGCTTTAACTTCCTCTTTCTTTATTTAGCTCGTAGGAGCTGCAGACTTTCCATTTGACTTCTTCTTTATATCTTTAAGTCATGCGATATAACATTGTTGCACTATAAAATACGATTCTTTATTCGTTTACCAAGATCTTACATGCATATATTGCTACCCCTATTGTTTTCCATCAAAGGTATCTTGCAATCTGTCCTCCACTTTTCTTTCATTTCAATTTTTTTGTTTATATATATACATCTTTAAAAAGGTTTAACAATCTTCATATTTTTTGCTAATATTTGCTTCAAAAAATGTAGTGAGAAAGTCTATATTTCGATTCCTTTTGTTTCTAAGTTGCCAAGTTCATGACTCGTTTTATTTGCAAATTCTGTGGTAATTCGTAAAACTCTTCTTAGTTTTTCATCTGCACTAGAAAATTCCATCCAATTTGCTTCTTTCAAGTTCAGGATGATTTTTTCTATCACACTTCCCCCGTTTTATATCATACCCTTGTTTGTTTGAAAAAGAAATGGTCGTGATTATTTATTTCATTCTCTTTTACTTTTTCAGCGTTTCTCAATTCCTCCGAGCATCTATGTAACAGCTCGTCATCAAATTCTAAAGAGACCTCATGACGCCTTGGCATTGTGGGTAGAGGATGTACCCAGGGACAGTTTTAAGGTTTGCCTCAGGGAAACTAAGATTTTTGATGGTCTGCATAAAAACATCAAGGTGGTAAGTGAATTTCTTTTGTTACCTGTTACATGTTTGAAAGTAGACTCACACGACTTGCTGCAACTTACAGGGGCTGTGCTCTAGCAGAACCCAGTTGCCCCTGAGCTCTACCTTTGCTCTTTGCCTACTAGGAAATCGTAGCTTTTTTCATAGAGATCCTATGTTGGGTACCCTGTGATTTACACAGGTTCAGAGAAATGGGCTCCCTTCTCTTAGAAACAACCTTGACTTGAGAAAGAATATATTGATAACATTATTAATACTTTTTCACTTGTCCTTCAGGACTGGATAGCATTTGTTAAGCTGATGACACTGAATTCTACCTTGATCCATGGCCTTGTAACAACAAAGAATAACTCACCACTAAACAAGCAACAAAACAACGCTGTCTGTCTGGTAAAGTAACTAATGAACTATACTGGTTTGGTTTCTTAGTCACTTATATTAATATATAAATAGAAAATCTTTCATAAGTTGATGGAGCTCTACTGTTGTTATCGTCAACTATTTAAACAACATATATCATATACCGCATATGTGTAGAAAAACTTAATAACGCTAATTCTTTTCTTGTTTTTTTAGATACTAAAGTTCACTGATGCTTTCTATGCCCCTCCGGTAGTAATGGTTTCACCAAGACTCAGTTACCATAACAACAACTCGCGTTTCTCGGCTTCCGGAACTTGTAACGCAGTTACTGCGTGGATTCAGGTAACATATATGAAACTTGGAGCCATTTTTCTTAGTCCATTGCGTCCTTGGGCTGCCTTCTTATAATATCTTTTCCCTTCTAACTTACTTTTAGCATTGTCTCTGTTTCAATTTTTCATGTCTTTTAAGGAGTCCAAAAAAGTTTTTTTGTTTTGTTTTTTCCCAATTTTTCCAACCAACCCGTGCACGCCACGGTTTCGCTTTCTAAAAGACCTTGGTGTACCTAGTGACATAGTAGCTGAGGTAAGAAAATACCTGATGATGCTTAATGATTGATAATCTGATACTTGTAATGATTGTGTCTAGCATACCTTTACAAACGAAACCGAGTGTGTATGAGAAGATACAGCAATAACGCCAATTATAAGGACATCGTACAACTTGATTACCTGGTGATTGGAGGTACGTAAACAATATATCAAAACCTTGGTGAAGGCTGTATACTGCAGTGTATCAAGTACATTGTATGACATGAATCTTTTGAAGTTGTTTCATGGAGAGCTTTTTTTTTTCTCTAATTAATGCTATTTTTGATTGTAGATTTGGTTGACCGAAAGAACATGTTACTACTATAATTTCGTCGCAATAATTTTGTGTATTCAAGAAAATGAGATTTTTTTAGAAAAATTTAAAGTCTAATTATCTTTGGCACACTGTTGCTCCTGATCACGAAATTAACAGGCTCATATGTCATGTCATAAGACAAAAATTCAGGAGCTGAAAAACGGGATCACACGCATTGTTATCCTTTTCTTAGAGTCGCCAGTGTTGTTGCATCTAACCGCAATGCACCTTATTGGCATCTTAAAGCAGTTTCAGCTTGTAAATTGGACGAAATTTTTGCAGAATCTATACTTGTTTTCACGTTTTCCTTAATTTACGTTATAGTTTCTTAATATAAGTCAGAGCCCCTTTGTTTCCGAGAGGCATCCGAGTGAAGACTTGCATGAATGGTGTGCCAAAACGGCGGTAAATTTGAACGTGTCAAAAATCCTCTTTAATAACATTGTGTCCAAAGCAATTTTTTTGGTCCGCACGTTCTCATAGTAATGTGCATTTTCAATTCTAAAATAGTTGTTAAGGAATGGGCACTTTGAAATCTAATCTGTTGTTATTTGCTTAATTATCTTCAGACTTGGATCCCTGCATAGACGTTACGTGTTATTATCACAGCTTCTGTAAGGCGTTTGGACCCCATGATGCACGCTGTGTATGTGTGGATAGCTGCCCATCTTACAAAGAACCCGTTTGCTCATCAAATGGCACAACGTACGACAACAGATGTTTGTTTGAAAGTGAAGTTTGTCTACATCGACTAAACTTAACCGTGCAACATCCTGGCAGCTGTGAAGGTTAGTACAGTTGTTTTTGAATCTGTTAAAAAGTGATTTTTGTTTTTATTAGATTTCAGTATTAATCGCTTAGCGAAGTTTTCGAATAAGCTATTTACTTACCCATGTAATCCGGAGGGAAAACGGCGATAGATGCGTGACTTTATGGAAGTTCAGAATTTTACGTAATTTTGCTAAAACGTTTGACAGGAGCAATGCTAATAAGAATACTGGTCAGAAAAAGTGGCGGATACACTTATGTTTTAAGCATTTTCAGTTAATACTCAACGAAAATATTTGTTTTTTTATATATGTATCACTGAACTTGGAAATTTAAAACTGATTCTTCTCTCTGAGATTAGTAGTAGTAGTAGCAGTAGTAGCAGCAGCAGTAGTAGTCGTCGTCGTCGTCGTCGTCGCCGCCGTCGTCGTCGTTTGCATTTCGTACCCTGACGTATCTCTGCCTAACATATCTGGATAACGTCCTTTCCTAGAGTAAAGCATAACTGGAACTGAATCTTTTCTCTGCGAGAAGTAGTAGTTACAATGGATGTTCACTTTCCTTTCCTTTAGCGCTAATAGGCCTGACCAGCTGCCACTGTGTAGCTCTGCTCAAGATGCAAGTTCTAATCTCTCCATGACTGCTTGCCATGCTATTGACCTAATACAGTGACAAGCGACACATTGTCCGCTGTGAACTTTCCCCAGGACTTCCATAGTAGAGAGTAACAACCCCCTTTATAAGAACCATTCATTTGCTGCTTTGTTAACATTTTTAAGTTCTGGGTAAAAATGAAATGCCCTTTGCTCCGCATGCTTTTCATACTAATCTATAGTTCATCTTGAAATGTGTTTTCTAGGATTTCCTTTTCAGCGTGGTCGTCGCCACATGCCACATATTCCATCCTTGGGCTACTCTCACTGTCATGCCATTCATTTCAAACCGTTTGTGTTTTACCCTGACAAATCCATTCAAGTGCAGGTAACTGTCAATCATATGGATACCAGTGACAAATCGTATGTCCATGACGCGGCGGTATCGTGGGTTGAAAATGTGAATAACGACGGATTCACTGCTTGTGTGATGGCGGCAGGATATAACGAACGAAAGTCGTATGCTAACGTGACAGTTGATTGGATGGCGTACCAAGGTGCTCCAGTGGGTGGCGTGACTGGTGAAGTGCGCATGTCTCAGTGGTGGACTGGTACGACTTGTGCGACTGTCATGTTTCCTACAGTGAGTGGCCTTTGTTGGGTTTTCTTGTCCTTTCCATTCTTTTCAAGATCATATCTTTTGAAACGCCTCACTTCTACTGAGGTCACTCAGTTAGTAACAGATCGTTTTCAATATTCATCAGCAGTGATTTGTCGTTCTGGTGCAGCCGTACACTTATTACCAAAAGTCGAACAATGTCATGGTAGTACAAATTATTCTTTTACCAATTTCCAGCATATCACAAATGTCATGGGTTCCTTTTGCAGAAATACGAAATTGATTCCTGTTCGTGGCTTTCTAAGAGTTAAGAGTTGCCTAACTCGGATTTATTTTTCAGGGAAAATTCTCTGTGATACCGTCGGTATTTGTGATTGCCAAGCATTACAATCCAGGATTAAAACGTGACGCAGCAAGCGTATGGATTGAAGATGTCACACAATCATCCTGCAAAGTTTGCTTGAGAGAATTGCAAAACTACGCTGGATCACACCAAGACGTTGTTGTTGTAAGTAACGCTAATCTCATGGAATCGAACGAACAGCGTTTTTCGTTGGAAACTAAGTGCAACAGACTGGTATCTTTCTCCATCTCATCTTTTCGCTTTTTTACGCTTCTAGCAGTTGGTCCAGCAGGGATGCACGATTTTTTACTTGAAAATATATTTCCCTCCATCTGTTTCCTCTTCATCCGGCTTTGTCAACCCAACCATGTTATTGCTTTCTTGTAACCTAAGATGTCGGTGGCTGTTTTATATAAACCTTGTTGAGAGATTACCATTTTATTTTCGACGTTGACACAATCTTTTTGTAGTTAGGACGTGAGACTGAAAAAGAATTCTTTCTTTTTATTGCTATTTATTTATTTATTTATTTATTTACTTTATTTCAGAATTGGTTAGCGTTTTCATATCTTGACGAGCCTCCCTTCTCAGAACATAGTTCGATTTACTTTTCGAATGATAAACCTCCCCCTCAGAGTCATTATAATGCCTTCTGCAAGGTCAGTATTCCAGTCCTTTCATTAGTCTTTTGGGTTTCAATTCCCGTCACAGTGCACTTAATTTTATTGAATAAATTTGCAATCAGAGAGCAAAAGGAAACGGTTCCCCTATCATGTCTCTAGTGATGGTAGTTGCATTTAATCAGTTAAGAAGGCTGCCTGTCATATTTCAGTAAACATTTAAAATGAAAATGAAATATAGATTATAAATGCCCTAATGTGGAACAAGTCTTTACCTTTATTTTAATGTCAGAGACTGAATTTTTACATTTATGTAATTTCTTTTGACAGGACGCTACTTTTACTAAAGTTTATAATTCAACTCCACATGTGTTTGTTTCTGCCAATCATTCCACCAAAAATGGAAGTCAAAGTCCAATTCATAACAGCATAGCTGAGTGGGTAGAGGTATGTTTTTATTTATTTATTTATTTATTTACTTTTTATTTATTTTATGAATTTCTGTAACATACCACTTGCAACCACACTTACATGTGTTGCGTGCATGTTTAAAAACCTTATGAAAATACGAATGACTGTAATTAACACTCTCAATTTTACAATACAGATAGCGTCCTATTGCGAATAACAGTTTATAAAATACCAAATGTGCGAACGATCAGGCATAACCCTTGGCTAGTAAAATAGCCATGATTTATAGAAAGTCGTTAAAACTGTGTTTTAAAAAATGCTGTGTAGCTGTATAGCAGAAGGTAAGCCGCTGCTTTGTTTTTCCGGGAGACAAATGTTGTCAACAAAAAGCAATAAGCAAACTAAAATTGATGTTAAGCAAGAGAGAATGAGCTAAGAGAGCGAATTCCTGTGACCCATGATGATTAGTTGAAATCTATTGAAAGTTCGCACGCGTGCGATGAAGGTTATTTTTATCTGCTGTTTACGTGACCCGCGCGGTCTACTTTCCCGTGAACGCGACATATTTTGCCGCCAAACATTTGAAGTTTGACAGCAGTTATAGCAATTATGGCATGAGAGGTTTAAGTTGTTGACATATAATAAAGCGCACTCAATTGTCCTGCTTTCCTCTTCTCTTTGAAGCCCTGTCATGCAAACTTCAAGGAACAGGGTTGATCACTTCTTAACATCGGCTAACATGAGAAATATGGAAAGTCTTCTAGTTAAGACCTACCTGAACTGTTGTTTTTTTTCTACTAGCAAGGGAGAAAAAACTCCGTCAGTCGTCTGTGTGAACTACTTAATGACCTGATAAACATCCCTTTCTTGCAGTACATCAACAAGACAGGCTTTCGTGCTTGTGTCAAAGAATTATATGAAGCAAAATATGACCCAGTGTCAGTAACGTACACAGTTTTGTCACGTAAGAGCTCTACTGTTACAAAATTAATAAACTTCAGTACTTAGCAACTTTCTGAATAAAAAAAAAAGGAATACAAGCAATACAGAAAAGGAATGTACAAAAACTGGAGGAAATAAAAAAAAATTGCATTCGGGTGATGATGAAAAACAACGCTCATCCCTTTTTCCAAATACATATTAATTTGTATAATGGTGTGCTTTATAATACTTGCAGTTGTTTTTGCGGTCTTATGTATTGCCTTTATTTTGTCCTGAACAAAAAACTTCTGCTTTTCCACTTCTTTTTTTAATCGCAAAAATGGAAATAACAAAAATGTTCGAAGCACATAACTGCAACTAAAGCTATACATTTTAAACAATATGATTATGTAGTTCACTAATTCCTACATTGTAAACGCGCAGACATCTGTCCATCTGGATGGGATTACTTCAATGGATACTGCTATTTAACAAGCTCTGTGTGCGCACCTTGGGTGACTGCTGTGTCCAACTGTTCAGCAATGAACTCACATCTTGTAACAGTGCACAACCAAGAAGAAAATGTCTACATACAGCACCGTCATAATGGAGAGCGATCATGGATTGGACTTAATGACCGAAGCGTTGAGGGATCATTTGTCTGGACAAACAAGGAAATAACCAGTTTTCGGTTCTGGGCTCCGCAACAACCAAACAACTGGAAAAACGAAGACTGTGTTCACACTCTGGGTGCCAATAATGGCTACACATGGAACGATGTGTCCTGCCATAACTGCCATAACTTTACTTGTGTTCAAGGTAAAAGCGGTCATCAGGTCCGTTTTACAACTTACATTAAATGATCTGTTAGTTGGCACCTGAGGTAATCTTATATATCTTCTGCAAAGGGTTGTGGTTCACTTCAATATTTTATGCTAGAAATGTAGCCAAAACAACAACAAAAAAAAACATCCAATGTTAGCGCGCATGAATGTAGTGTTTCTTTCAGTCATAGTTAGTAGAGAAGACTGGTTATGAAAGCTGGGAAACGGAATCAAAGCTTAAGATTTTAACAAAGGTGCCGCAATTTATGTTGGTAGCGATCTTCTTTTTTTCTCACAAAATGCGAATGAATAAATTAATGCAATGTTTTTATAGCCTGTGTACAGACCCCCGTCCCCCTTTTTTTGAGGGGAGGAGGGCGTCTGCACAAAGGCTACGATTTTATTGGTGAAAAGGATCAAAATGATAGGAATGCTATTGAACTTTTCACAACGTCGGATGAGTCCAAAAAAGGTAACCAAAAAAACATATATCCTGGTATAATAAAGACGTTTGTAGGGCTTCGAAGCCACTCCACTTTTATTAACTTTGCTTCAGTTTATGTTTCAAACCTGACCGAATGTATCAAGGAAAAAATGGGCACGCGACCGAGCTTATTCGAAAGTTGTTAAGGTGTCATAACGTAAGATGAAAGCATTTTGTCCAGTGTTTGACAAATTCAAAGTAATTTCCTTTTTTTCTTTTCAAGAGTTTTTTATAAATTCAAGTTGAGAATATCATTTTAGAAAATAAACACGTAGCAAGGTCATCGATCAACAATAGAACATGTGAGTGAATGAAGCGCCGTGATTTCTTTCAGAAATTGACGAATGCACAACTAACTATCACAGATGTAATGTGAATGCTGCTTGCCAGAATACCGTTGGCTCATACAAATGTACTTGCAAAGCTGGATACTCTGGAAATGGCCGCAAATGCGTTGGTGAGTACTGAAGTTTGCTTTAGACATCCATATTTTGCCCTAATACTTCGCAAACTGACTGAATTCATTCTTTTCTGATGTTGTTTGTTAATTAAAAAAAGTAGTTTACGTGTCTTTAGTATCTTTTTACGGACCTCATACTGTATATGTACAGTGCTGTAATTAAGTTTTTCATTTATCTATTGTACTCGTAAATTTCTTATAAACTCTCAGTCTAAGGCGGCAACAATAAGACACCAACCTTTGGTGGTAATTTAATGGATTTTGAGCAAACATATAGTTTGCCCTTGTGTTTCGCAAACTGAGTGTTCTAATAAGCCCCTTAGTCTAAGGCGGCACCAACCTTTAGTGGATGGATTTTGAGCATTATAAAAATACTTGCACTAATGTATGGAACAACGTTGACACGAATTTTCACTCTTTCAATTAAAACAATTACGAAAACTGGTAGGTGTACTTCGTATTGGGGACATATTTGGTTTGAATTTAAGAATTTCATTGGTAATAACCTTATAGTTTGATATGATTAAAAAAAACTCGAAAATAAAAATTTCACTTTCAGACCTCAAGGTCGCCCCAGTTCTGAGTGTAAATAATGGAAATTCGCAAGGAAATGTCAAAAGGAAGGTATTGCCTTGTTGTTTTCGGCGCATGAAATCAATGTTTTATAATTTTGTCTTTGTTTATAGATATCGACGAGTGTAAGAGCAAAACCCATAACTGTGACAGAAATGCGTTATGTAAGAACACAGAGGGGTCCTTTACTTGCACCTGCAATCGCGGTTACAAGGGAGATGGAAAGAAGTGTAGAGGTAACTATCTAGCACTCTTTTCGTAAAGGTTGGTTTTCACTATCGCGTAATTTTTACGTGACTGCGTGAGCGCGTTAGTTTTACGTACGTAAGTAAAATAAGGGTTATGTAAGAAAGGTCGAGCGTAAAGGTAAAAGTTGACCCTTGCTAAACTTTACGCGCGTATTCACGTAAATATTACGCGGCAGTGGAAATCCACCCTAAGTTCTTAATGTTCAAAGATAGTTTATACATCCAGCACAGTCGCTCATTCCATTGCTTGTATTTATTCTCCCTGGCGCCGGTTGTTCAAACGTTGGATAGCGCTTTGCATCGGATAAATCACTACACAGTGGATAATAAGTTTTAGGGAAACTAATTGCGTTATCTACTGGATGGCTATTCATCCAGCATTTGAACAACTGGGCTATGTAACTTTGTAACCCTACCATATCCGCAGAAGCCACCGGTTTATCTGTAACGTAGAGTTAAAAGAGGAGAATGTCAAGAAAGAATTTTTAAAGTTATATATACCTGCCTTGTAAACGTAAAATAAATGCAATTTATGTTTGTCTTTGGTTTTTTAGATATCGACGAGTGTACAAGCAAAATCCATAACTGTGACAGAAATGCGTTATGTAAGAACACTGAAGGGTCTTTCGCTTGCACGTGTAAACCTGGTTACAAAGGAGATGGCAAGAAGTGTAAAGGTATAAATATCTCAATAGCACACGCAATTATCGCGTTGTCTGCTTTTATTAGTTAACCACATTTGTCATGGATTCTTAGCTATAAACTGGAATTAGCCTATATCAACGGGCTTAAGCCAGGGAATCTGTTCACATGCAATTATTCTTTAATGATTTTCCTCCCTAATAGACTCAACTCAAAGTTACCTCCAGCAATAGGAATCACTACTCTTTGAAAACGATTGCAGGCTTGATTAATTCAGTAATGGAGCTTTGTGAAACTATCTTCACTTTTTCTTTAGTTTCATTTTACGCAGGCGAATTGTTAAGGCTTTTTTTAAAAATTCTTTTCTTAACTATTTATCAACCACGTTTTCTTCTTTTATTTTCACCTTGAGTTTACACGAAGATTAAAGTGAAATTCTCGTTTCTCCATAGAAGCTTTGAAAACTTTTTCCAAACAACGAATTCTTCAAAGTTGATCTCTAATGTTGATGCGTATTTTGTTGTAGCGACACGCGGGCTCGTTTATGACGATCCCGCTCAATCCTGCAAAGAAATCAAGGACTTAGGTACCTCCAATGGAGACGGGGAGTACTGGATTGACCCTGGAAGGACTAAAAGTGCTTTTAAGGCATATTGTGACATGACAACTGACGGAGGTGAGGTTTTAGTTGAAGCTGACACTTCTTTTATGCTGGTACGTCTTATTTCATAAAGTAAGTTCAATAAATTCTCAATAACTATATTGGTATTTCATAAATGCATTAATATTTTGTTTGCGCCAGGCCTCGTTTCGGGGTCAACTTGAAAGACTAACATCTGCTTAGCGAATCACGGATATCTTAGTTCACGTGAGTGATATTAATAGAGCTTACAGCGATTTTGGCTGTGAACTAAATATTACTGCTTGTTTTGGCCCACATGATTGATAAACATTTATTGAATTTCAGGGGGATGGCTTCTTGTTTCCAAAGTTGTTTCGCACGGTTCATCTTCCACTCAGATTCCAGTTAAGACTTCGTACCGCGGAGTAAGCAGCAAAGAGATGGTGCTCACAAAAAGCGCCATGAAGGAGCTGAGAAAGCACATGCATTTTACTCAGATAAGATTTCACTGCAAGAAAAGAGGAGGTCGTAGATTTCACATCACCACGGCTGCTAACAGCAAAGGTGAAGCTGTTGTCAAATACTTCAGTGGTGAGACAGATGTGATGCCCGCCTCTTGTGGCTCGTTTGTTATCATGAGCAACGACAACTCGCGGTTAGCAAGACTCTGCCAATACTGGGGATACGCAAAGGGTTCTTATAAAATTGGAAAATGGGGTCATGAAAAAGACCACGATCGATTATACAATCACGCTGCTTTTGTATTTGACAGCCCTCGTCAAGGAGTGGGGAATCATTTATGGAACATTCTGCCAGCTGACAGATGGGAATGCGACGATTCTCCTTACGTTTCCAGAGTGTCCCCTGGCGATTTTTGGAAAATATTGGTTCGCTAGCTAGGAACTTGAGAAGTCGAGGTCACCATAACGAGAGTCTCGCTAAACGTTGAAGGGTTTTATTTTTCACGGCGTAGACAAACAGATCGACACTATTATTTGCACCGGTGTTTAGATTAAAAACCAGGGACGGCCTTAATGAGATCTTTGTCAGGTTCTTGTAGTAGTTAGGAAACTGTAGAGCATTTTGTGGAATGATATTGTAGAGACAATAAAAACTAACGAAATGGGGAATTTATTTATGTATGGCTTTCTCTTTCTCCTAGCTAACAAAAAGTCGAATTTAGGTTAGGTAGCAGCTGGAGCCGTGAAGGGAACTTTCCAGCCTGTGTTATTATTTCTTTTCAGAGGGAATACTTCCCAGCATCTGCCACCGATCGATCGGAGAGAAATTGTGTTTTGGAAGCGCGTTGATGAAAAGTCCTTAAATGAAAGTAAAAACTATGTAGAATCTTTGGATAAATTGCTCAGAAAAAAAAAATCGTGTGCTAAAAGAAAATAGTATAGTGCTGTGCATATACCTGTTTAACAGGCTTCACGTATCCACGAGTTTCTCATTTTGGCACTCATTTTGAGTTACAAAATGGTCTGAACCGTCCCTTTAGCTGGACTTTTTGGTTCCAGACAAGGTCTTCAGGTTTTTTTGTTCTCGAAATGCTCGGGGCATATATGGACGTTTTCATGGACTCAAGCTTCCTATCAGCACGAAGACAAAGGGCGACCCTTTCATTTTATAGATTTCTTCACATTAGGAAAATCGAATAAGTTGAGGGAGATCTTGCCTTTTCTTAGACCAGGGACACGGGTTAATACCTCATTTTTAATTCAGAGACCCTCCAGCTCTAGTTCATAGGCGCATTTTAACCAAGCCTCGACTTGATGATATAAAGTAGTTACCAGGCGTTGCGCAGTAACAGTTCGAACCAAGAGCCATAATAGGACAGAGAGGGACACTCCCAGTCACGCCTTTGGGATATCTTAATCCCAGAAAAGTTATTTTTAGAACTATGCGGACCATGCGGAAACAGTTTCCGGTAAACTGGTTGACTTCCGGAAGATTCAGCGCGCCAAAGCGAGGCGGGGTCAATAAATGAAAAAAATGGCTGCTAAAGTGGAGGGACAATGTGGAGGGTGTGTACTTGATAAATTGTCCTTCTTCAACGAAGAACCTACCATAGAAAATAGTTAAAACTTCTACACAAACGGATCCTTTACAAGAAACGGTAGAAATACAGTTAAAGCGACCGCGTGGACCATCGTTTTTGTTGGAACAGCTGGAAAGAGGACAAGTAGCATTGCGTTTTACACAAAATGCGCGGGTCCTACAAAGACGACCGTACAAGCGACCGTGTGGACGTATTTTCTGTTGAAAGAGGAAGGAAAAAACGTATAAAGGCTTCCAGTATTTTTCTCAAGGACATGACCAGGAATCATGTGGAAAACACCTTTCCCTGCTTTGACTGATATTTTGTACCGTACTTCACATGGGACAATTAACAATTATTCTTGAACACGAGGTGAATAGAAGCGGAATATTCGCGGCGAGGTTAATATTCCTAAAGCCACTATTCAGCAAGATTAAAAATCAGTAAGGAGACCATTTAAGTTCAATGTGATTGACGGTTTTGACGGATCAATTCATGTGTGAAAATCGGTATGTGCAAAAGTTTGATCTTTACAGAATTTTCAAACATTGCAAATCAAATCGCAGTTAAAAATCCTTTCGCAAACAATGGCCTAATAATGGGTTATATGGAATAGCCAGAACTTTAAATTCTGCTTCCCAGCCTGTGAAGAAAAGAAGAGCTTTGTTTTCATCTGTCGACTCGCCAAGTTAGGGAAAAAGGGTTCTTGTGCAGCAAATTTGTGTTCTTCTTTAATAAGTGCAGACAATGGTGGCGCGGTTGCTCGAGGTAAGGTGCCGTTTCTCTGTAGTTTTCTTGACATTGAAATCTCGAAATTTCGTAAAGATTTGCTTTTAATTTTTTTTTGTCACAAGTTGAATTTGATTTCTGGGGAAAATTCGCCTTTGAAGAAAATGTTGAGTTTACACAGAAACCACTTCTTCTATTCAATTTGTAATTGTCAACATTCCATCGAGCGAAAAATACTGCTCAGTAAAGTTAATCGGAAAACGTTCTTGAATACTTTGAAGTCTTCCTTACCTTCAAAAAAATGGACCCTAGTGAATTCTGAAAGGTTCTTAATCTACAAAAGATTGGCAAAACACCGAGCTATCTCATTTTTTACTCGAGAGGCTAAAACACCACAAAGATCACTGAATTCTGAAAACGATTTTTGCTTGTAAAAGCTTTATTTGTGTAAGGCAGAAGCATATAACCCGAAGCGTATAACTCTGTCCCAATGCTTCTGTGTAAGGTTATTTGTGTTTTTTCATGTTGAAATAAATACGACAGTATGATAATCTCATGTGGCGTTTATTTACTTTATGTGGTTTTACCAAGCCTAATATTTTCCTCATACACCTGTAATAATTAACTTTTACAGATCCTGCACCACAATGTGTAGGTAAGATTTCCATACAACCCCAAGCATTCATTACAGGGTCGTAACATGGTATATCCGGGACCCATTGATCCCTATTTTCTTGCCGTTATTTTGATCCCTGAGCCCCATTTTCCCCAAAATTTTGATCCCTGAGCTCTGATAAAAAAATTGATCTCATCCATGTTTTTACGCAAAATTTTAACGTAGACAACTTTGTTTATATCCAAATATAGAATATAGAATATGCTCAAATGGGCTGATGAGAAAAACATTAGCTTTTTAATTTTTAGTGCAAGTTGTAGGTTCTATCAGAGCTTTAACGACAATATGAGTCAACCTCTTCTTGTGCATTATTCTATTTAAGACACTTTAAATATAATATTTGGCGATACTAGACAAATGATAAAACCTCATTTTCTTGAACGGGAGCTTTAGTAATTATAAGATACATCTTGAAAGATCTTGCGGCGGAATCTTGACTTTTTCAGATGTAACGTTCATCAAGAGTATTTTGAAGGTTTATTTTCAGTGTTGCTCATACGAGCAAGGCCACCAGGAAGTTTATAAGCCAATCACAAGAAAGCATTGGATTCAAAATTCGAATAAATACATTTTTAGTCAAACAGCAAACACAGCTAGCGCTGGTTGGTCCCCGGTTGAATTAACGGCACTGTAAGGTACTTCTGAACTAAGGTCTTCCTCTAGCTTTCCAATTCCTGTCCTGTACGAACATGCCCTGATAACTTGTCCAGTTAATCAATGTCCGATCGGTGTGGGTCACAGATGTTTTATTTCCAAGTAGACTCTTGCAACCAGAAAAATTGCACGTTGGCCGTGTTACTGGTCTACAATATTGATGTTAATAAAGTGTAATCGTTTGTCTCACGATTCAGTCACTTAATGATGTAGATCGCGATGTTTCAACTGCGTACTTCAAGTGTTCATTAGAAAAAGCAACACTTAAAGACCTTGCCTGGCTATTCTTTGTCGACTTGTCACACGTGAACTTATATGACTCCAAGCTCTGGTTCTGGTTGGTCGATTATTAGCCGCTGAGATTGGTGCATTTCTTACTCCGTTGTTTGTATGAGCTTTTGCCTCACTGGTCCACTGTCGTACGGATCTCCTATTGCTGTGTTTCTTGATTAAGGGCAACCAAGCTTCTGGACTTTCTATTCTGCTATCCCTGTTGATGTCATTATAGTGTAGTCTTATGTGAATTTCCTCTTTCACTCTGTCTGTTACGGTGAGGATCACGATCAATTACCAATAGCAAAATACCCGCTTTACATGAAGTAGAAAAATTAAATGATGCAAGCCACAGGTTCTACAGTTTAACAGCTTTTCTGTTTCAAGCCCATTAATGGCTTTTCTTGGCTTAATAACCATTGTAGATTGTCAACGGACATGTCTGGTTGTAGGTCTTCCAGACCTACTCCTTCCAGCTTCAAATCTAATTGGCTCTGAAAAGTTGTCCACCTTAGCTTGCTCCCCTTCCTCTTCGTCACCACCTGACGCAGGTGAATTATCTGATTCAACTGACCCCTGGAGCAATGCAATGCGTTGCTCTTTAAGGCAGCTCAAACAGAAGTTGTTTCCATCTTTTATTATTTGAAATTTCTCGATGATATACTTGGGTGAATTTCTATCGTCACGGTGCCCAGTCTGGTATCAAGGGGATATTCTTGTGACTGTTCCATCCATCTGAAACCCATGTGATTTTCCAGGAATGCGTCACTGTCAGTTATGGTGGAGATCTTTTAAAAGAACTGCAAGGAAGAAAGGAATGATATACCTCTTGTAATTGTGCTTGAGAGCAACTACGTCGCCTTTTGAATAGATAATCTCATATTCTTCGGCTGCGTCTTGAACTGTAGTTTGTCCTTCACTCCCTTGAACCTCTTTCAGCAGATCGACTTCTCCATGTGCCGACGCATTNTGATGCAAGCCACAGGTTCTACAGTTTAACAGCTTTTCTGTTTCAAGCCCATTAATGGCTTTTCTTGGCTTAATAACCATTGTAGATTGTCAACGGACATGTCTGGTTGTAGGTCTTCCAGACCTACTCCTTCCAGCTTCAAATCTAATTGGCTCTGAAAAGTTGTCCACCTTAGCTTGCTCCCCTTCCTCTTCGTCACCACCTGACGCAGGTGAATTATCTGATTCAACTGACCCCTGGAGCAATGCAATGCGTTGCTCTTTAAGGCAGCTCAAACAGAAGTTGTTTCCATCTTTTATTATTTGAAATTTCTCGATGATATACTTGGGTGAATTTCTATCGTCACGGTGCCCAGTCTGGTATCAAGGGGATATTCTTGTGACTGTTCCATCCATCTGAAACCCATGTGATTTTCCAGGAATGCGTCACTGTCAGTTATGGTGGAGATCTTTTAAAAGAACTGCAAGGAAGAAAGGAATGATATACCTCTTGTAATTGTGCTTGAGAGCAACTACGTCGCCTTTTGAATAGATAATCTCATATTCTTCGGCTG